TGGTTCAAACCCTGGTCCAGGAGCCTTTCTGGGTGGAGTTTGCATGTTCTCTCCGTGCATGCGTGGGTTTTCTCCGGGTACTCCAGTTTCCTCCCACAGACCAAAAACATGCATGTTAGGCTGATTGGTAACTCTAAATTGTCCCTAGGTGTGAGTGAGAGAGTGAATGGTTGTTTGTCTCGTTTGTCTCTATGTGGCCCTGTGATGGACTTGCGACCCGTCCAGGGTGTACCCCGCCCCTCGCACAGTGATTGCTGGACATGGGCACCAGCGACCCACGTGACCCAAAATGGAATAAACGGGTAAAGAAAATGGATGGATGGATATATATGTGTAGATGAACAGATGCTGGGATATATTCATCATTTAACGCGGGTTCCTCATTTTTCTGGACTGAATAAAACGTGCATTGAATTTAAGGAAATGCAAACGTGAGACGTCATTTAGATTTGACCCATCAAAATGAATGCGGTCATTTATTTACAGAATCAAATTTAACATCAAACATGTACATTAATTTGGCAAATTATGAAAATAACAACAAAGCAATCAATCAGGAAAAATCATACGGCCATGATTTTTCCGTTGCTGCACCAAAGACATTTATGAAAACTGTACAACTATGATCTTTTGCCCACATGAATGTGGGTGAGCATTTTACACAGACATTTCTAAATATCTGGAAGAATTTCTACTTGATAGAAAAGTTTAAAGATGGAAAGAAGTTTAGAGGGAGTTAAGATGGTATGTGAGGGAAATTAAGTGTTCACCAGAATCGACACTCTCCGGCTTTCTTCAGCTTTTCCTTACAGTACACTTAGGTGATGAAATCGGCTCCTTTACCTGGAGATGTCTCAGGTGAGATTCCGTTTAACGCACCCTTTCAGCGTCTCAGTAGGATGCTGTTACTCGTCCGAAGTAATGGCGAGGCTCTGTTCGACACATATTCACCTCAGTGGAAAATGTTATAATCCCATGGAACTCGGGAGAGCTTTGTTGTCATGTCAGGAACTCCAACAGCACTCCATCAGAACTCAGCAGAACTTGAGTAGACTCTCACCGAACTCTACGCTCTCAGAACTCTTAGAACTCCGACAACTCTCCAACTCTGTGTAGACCAGGAAGTACTGACATTTTAAAGACTCTTTCCCGGTTCACTTTTTGGGATTTGTTCATTGGTCAGAATCGACCAGAAGGGGTGTGTTTTTGTGACGTAAGAGGTTAGAGACAGCGAGAATTGTTATGAGACAGGTCAGAAATGTTCTCACAGACCGAGAGGGTTTTGTTTTGGCGTGTTTAAGAAACAGGTGCAAAACATCTCTATTTACGTCTGAGAGGATTCTAAAACATGACAGTTTTAACATAACAACTTGTTTTCCGTTTGACTGTAACCTTGGAAACGCACACACTTGCTCATTCAAAAGCAGAAATCAGAAAAATGCATAATTACTCTGTAACAGCTTTGACATGAGAATAAAAATCATTACTCAGTTAATAAAATTGATTAGTTCACTGCAACATCTAAAATGGTTTGAACTAAGACACTTTGATTATCAACATTTGTAAGATAGTAATGATAATAAAAAGAGAGTGTTCTTTTCACTTGAATCTTCAAGAAAGAAAGTCTCAGGATGGGTGAACCTGTATTTATGGATTCAAATAAATGAAATGACAGTTCCTGTCCCACAAGGTTCTAAAGGTCTAGAGTTTTGACCTTAGACTTAGTTTCGACGTAGGCCTAGTCCACTACATATGTGTATGTATGTATGTATGTATGTATGTATGTATATGTGTGTATGTATGTATGCATGTCTGTTAAACGACATGTGCTGCTGAGATGTCCATCTCATACCTGCCAGCTGATCCAAATGTGGGGTCAGGACAGATTCCACCAGCAGCATAGTCTTTTTACTGATCATTGCAGGACAGTGGAGAGATGCCACGCCCAGAGTGTGGAAGTACTTTATCTGGTATAGAAAACATTTTCAGTCCAGTCAGAGGACAACAGGTACAAGACTTGAGACAACCTTCACCAAGTCGTTACATTTTATACATTTTGTGTGTGAAAGCTTGTTGTTAGAGTTGTGAAGGTTCTCTGTCTTTTATCAACAATGTCTCTGTTCTGTAGTTTTTCCTGACTTGTATATATTTATTTGTGCATTTATGAACAATCTTTGGGGAACATCCGTTCTCACCGTCAGCTCCTCGTTGAGGTTCTGAGTTCCATTTTCACACAGGATGATGCCGGCTAAATATGCCTCGCAGAGTGACACCAACTCACCACAGTGCTGATTCATAAAAGCCTGGAAAAATAAATTAAATACATGAAGAGTGAAAGGAAGAAAGAAAATATACGAGTTACGGTTAGTTCTTGAATGACACGTTGACTTGATAGAATAAACAATTTCAGAAACCTGGCAGTATTAGTGGTTAAAAGTGTTTAATCCAAGCAAACTCTGAATTTAATTATTAAACTCAAATTACTGAAAAGCTTTTTCAAAACTGACTGAATGTTGATTTGATTCCAATTCATTTTTCACTTCTTTGACATCCACAAAACTTTACACCAAGTGTGTACAAGATGTGGCTCTTGGGTCATTTTCCACTACTGGAGTGTTTTTGTGCGGCCTGCAACTGCAATTTATAAAAAGGGATCTTTTTTGCCCACAGGCTTACGATCTGAGAGAAAACCAGATTTAAAGTAATTTTAAAGTGTGCTATGTTAACTAAAAGTTTTATTTTTTCTTTATTCCACCTTGTTTAATATTTTTATTATAATTTCATGATAAAAAAAGACAACAGACCTTTACAGACGTTTACCAAAAAGTAAATTTTGGGGTAACCACTAAAAACTTGGCTAAATGTGGCAAGCATTTGCAAACACCCTCCCCCACCTTGATAACACCATTAAATTCAGCTTATTTGCTGGTGCCCGTGACAACCTGTCCCCTTTCAAAGCATAATAAATTCAGTCTCAACTGCCTCAAAGTCCCGAGTTCAAAGTTAAATTTGTTTCCCATAATGTTACGTTGTATTTTAATATTACCAGGTTTTCGTCCTACATAATATTATCACGAGCAGCACGGTGGCACAACTGGTAGAGCTGCTGCCTCTCAGCACACAGGTCCCTGGTTCAAATCCCAGCCTGGGGGCCTTTCTGGGTGGAGTTTGTATGTTCTCTCTGTGCATGCGTGGGTTTTCTCTGGGGACTCCAGTTTCCTCCCACAGACCAAAAACATGCACGTTAGACTGACTGGTAACTCTAAATTGTCCCCAAGTGTGAGTGAGAGAGTGAATGGTTGTTTGTCTCCATGTGGTCCTGTGATGGACTTGTGACCTGTCCAGGGTGTACCCCGCCCCTTGCACAGTGATTGCTGGACATGGGCACCGGCGACCCAGAATGGAAGAACCAGGTAAAAGATAATGGATGGATGGATGGATAATATTTTCACTGTTATTACATATGTATGTAAACATTACATAAACTGTGGAAAACTCATAAGATTTGGGTTAATCTAACGAAAACAACTCATTGCTCTAAGACACAAAGTTTGTTTTCTCAGTCATCCAGGTATATAACAACAAAAAAGGTTGAATCATGTCATCTGGACTTCGTTTTTTTGTTAAAAAGAAACGTTTCGCCCCTCATCCAAGAGGCTTTGTCAGTCTGAGGCCTAGCCATCTGGTATTACCCAGAAGCCACCCTGACTCTTGTGTTTCAAGCCTGCCTCAGATACCCCTGAAGTCTGGCCTTTTCACTAATGGTTTCAAAAACAAAGTTTTTGTGACATGATTCAACCTTTTTTGTTGTTATATACCTGGATGACTGAGAAAACAAACTTTGTGTTTTTGAAACCATTAGTGAAAAGGCCAGACTTCAGGGGTATCTGAGGCAGGCTTGAAATACAAGAGTCAGGGTGGCTTCTGGGTAATACCAGATGGCTAGGCCTCAGACTGACAAAGCCTCTTGGATGAGGGGCGAAACGTTTCTTTTTAACAAAAAAACGAAGTCCAGATGACATGATTCAACCTTTTTTGTCATTGCTCTAAGGTTATTTAATGAGACGGATTACTAATGAAACCTATTATTCTCATTGAGAGTGAAGAAATGGTGCCCTGTTATAAACATCTTATGAATAATTAATCATAATTCATAGTTTATGACTCATATTTTCCCTAATTGCTATATTAAGTACTTTGATATTTCTTATACGTATAAATCAGTTTAAGCACAAGGTTAGAAAATATGACTTTTTTTTTTTTTAACCAAACGTTCCTTTTCCAGACAATTTACATTTTTAATTAGAAAAGTGCAGAAAAACAAGTCACTAAATTACTAAATTGTATTTACAAAGGACATCTAGATGTCATGTTTTCCAACCTGAGTTTGTTTGATGTCCTCACTGGAACCAAGATGATAAAGTGTCTCCACAGAAGCACTGATCACCTCTAGAGACAAACTGAACGTCTTCAACCAGGACATCAGATCAGCTGAGGTGGGACAGGAGGGTCAGTAGTTATCACAGTGCCCTCCAGTAAATATTCATATGAACCCTTTCCATCATTTTTTACCAACAAGCCGGTCCTTGGTATCTTCATTCAAATGAGTAGCAATGTCTCCCATCACAGCAAGGATGTGACAGCATGTTGTCACATTTACATGCTTTGAACTGTGAGGAGACAGAATAAACATGTAGCTAATTAAAATAAATTTACTGGATAACGCTGTATTAAAATTAATGAGAACTCATTGTAAATGATCCTCTCCCCACCTGAGCATGGCATCCCAGGCATTCAGGATCTTGCCATATGGCAGTTTTGAGGATGACGTGACAACCTTTGAGAGCAGCAGCCAGGCCCCAGCAGCATGATCCGCCTCAGTGTGTGAGATCAAGTTAGTGATGAACGTAGAGGTGAACTTGTTCTGTTTGGACCAGATGGTAAAGGCCCTGCTGAAATATTGGCTGGAGAGAGTCAGTAGAGAGGTGTCAGCTTAGGCTTATTAAACCTCCTCTTTATATTACCTCTTCTGGAATAGCAGCTAATATTAACATGTTCTAACATGTAAAGCTGCAAATACAATGACAATACGTAACAAAAATGTAATATCTATTTACCTTGTATAAGCTTCCATTAGGTAATGTTATTAAACAGCATGGGATAAATTGTCATTGTTATGCTGATGATATACAATTATATTTCAAGTCAAGTCACATTTATTTATATAGCACATTTAAAACAGTAACTGTTATCAAAGTGCTTACCAAAAAAGATCACAGCATCAAATATTAATAACATATTACAGCAACATGAATAAAAGCATAAAAACAATTAAATATAATGAGAAACAATGAAATACTGAATCAAATCACCCTGCGTTAAATGTCAGGGAGTAAAACCAAAATGGATGAACACAATCATCAACAACGAAATACCAAATGAGATCACACTGTGTTAAATGCCAATGAGTACAGATGCGTTTTGAGGAGAGATTTAAAAATAGAGACTGAGGTGGCCTGTCGAATGTTGATGGGCAGATTATTCCAGAGTTTAGGGCCCACGACTGAAAACGCCCTATCTCCTCTGAGCTTCAGCCTGGTTTTTGGTACGGCCAAAAGCAGCTGGTCTGATGAGCTCAAGGCCCGAGAAGGAGTATAAGGATGAAGGAGGTCCGAGAGGTATGAGGGTGCAAGGCCATTAACACACTTAAATGTCAGCAGAAGATTCTTCAAATCAACTCTGACACGCACAGGAAACCAGTGAAGAGAGGACAGAACTGGAGTAATGTGCTCAAACCTGCGAGTTCCTGTTAGTAGCTGAGCTGCAGCATTTTGGACAAGCTGGAGACGTGAGAGAGAGACCTGACTGACCCCAGCATAAAGCGAGTTACAGTAGTCCAGCCAGGTTGTAATAAATGCATGGACTAATTTTTCAAGGTCGAATCTGGACAGGACAGACTTGAGCTTTGCCATTTGCCTTAGCTGAAAGAAGCTTTTTTTGAAGAACAGAATTTATCTGCTTATTAAAGTCTGAGTCTAAAACTATCCCGAGAATGGTAACAGACCGTTTTAGATATGGCTGAAGAGAGTCCAGGTTTGCAGGATCAGTGACAGTGGCAGAGCTAGGGTTAAACACAATGACCTCAGTCTTCTGATCATTAAAACTGTGCAGCCATCCAAGTCTTGATGTCATAAAGACAATTTAACAAAGGGCGAATGGAGGAGGAACTGTTAGGTGTTAACGGCAGATAAATCAGAGTCATCAGCATAACAATGAAAGGAAAAACCATGTTTCCTCAGGATAGACCCTAAGGGGAGGAGATACAAAGAAAACAGAAGGGGTCAAAGAATGGAGCCTTGCGGGACCTCGCAGGAAAGAGGCACTGAAGTAGATAGAGTGTTAGCAAAATTAACACAGAAACTCCTGTCACTCAGGTATGAATGGAACCATTCTAACGCTGCACCAGTAATCCCAACCCAGTGTGCTAGCCGGGATAAAAGGATACTGTGGTCCACAGTATCAAATGTAGCGGTAAGGTCAAGGAGTACCAGGACTACAGACTGACCAGAGTCATTTGCCAGAAGAATGTCGTTGCAGACCCTAACTAAGGCTGTTTCGGTGCTGTGTAGTTTCTTAAAGCCAGACTGAAAAATCTCAAGAATAGAATATCCACTCAAGAACTCGTTTAGTTGAGTGAAAACTATTTTCTCCAGGATCTTGGAAAGAAAGGGAAGTTTGGAGATGGGTCTGAAGTTTGAGCAGGTTGAAGGGTCAAGTCCGTTTTTTTTTTTTTTAAAGGAGTTACCACTGCATGTTTAAAAGTGTCAGGGACTACACTGTAGTCATACTGCTGTTTATAATGTCAAGAACAGAAGGTCCAATGGAGGGTAGGAATTGTTTAAAAAACGATGCAGGGATGGGGTCAGCAGGGGAACCTGAGGGTTTCACATGACCAATGACGTCATTTAGAAATGAGAGGGAAATGGGTTCAAACTGGTTAAAAACTGATGTGGAGGGGACAAAGACAGAGGGGTCAGCTGTGGTGTGAGGAATCAGTGACCTGATCGACTCAACCTTTTTAACAAAGAAACTGGCAAAGTCGTCACACGTAACTGCAGAGACCTCCCTGTTGGCAGACTGAGGCACGGTTAAAGTGGCGTTAATGGTGTTGAAAAGAACGTGGGGATTGTGGCTGTTTGAGGCGATGATTTGGGAGAAATATTATTTTTTTTCTGATTTAACATATTTGTCCATGAAACCCAATGAATCCCATCAGCTACTTAGACTACAAGCATGTCTTAAAGACATTAAAACCTGGATGACCCTAAATGTTCTGTTTTTGAACAGACAAGACTGAGGTTTTAGTTTTTGGACCTGGGCATCTTAGGAATTAATTTTTCAGTCTTTCTCCCTCCTTAGATGGCATTAATCTGGCCTCCAGCTCTAATGTTAAAAATCTTGGTGTTATTTTTGATCAGGACTCGTCTTTTATCCCCCACATTAAAAACGTTACTAGAACTGCCTTCTTCCACCTGCGTAATATCACTAAAATTAGAAACATCTTATCTAAAAATTATGCAGAAAAACTGATTCATGCATTTGTCACGTCTAGACTGGACTATTGCAATGGTTTATTATCTGGATGTCCAAATACTTCTTTAAAACGTCTTCAGTTGATCCAAAATGCTGCTGTCAGAGTCTTAACTGGAGTTAGTAGGAGAGATCATATCTCTCCAGTTTCAACTTCTCTCCATTGGCTCCCTGTCAAATCCAGAATAGAATTAAAAATCTTACTTCTAACCTACAAAGCCCTCAACGACCTAGCTCCATCTTATATTTCAGATCTTATTGTTCCATATTTTCCTAACAGAGCACTTCACTCTCAAACTGCAGGCTTACTTGTGCTTTCTAGAGTTTCTAAAAGCAGAATGGGAGGAAGATCTTCCAGTTATGAGGCTGACACATTGTCCAGTTTTAAGACTGGGCTTAAGACTTTCCTTTCTGATAAATCCTATAGTTAAGGTTGGCTTGTTATGCTGCTATAGGCTTAGACTGCTGGAAGACAAACTGACCTTTCTCAAATGAATTGTTTAAATTGAATTGTTTTCATTTGATACCATTTCTATGTTAACATGTGATTCTTGACCTGCCATTGTGCATCTGTTCCTCCTTCCTGTTCCTCTCAAACCCAGCCGGTCAAAGCAGATGACCGCTTGTCCTGAGCCTGGTTCTGCTAAAAGTTTCTTAACTATGAGTTTTTCCTTTCCACTGTCACCTTCATGCTTGCTCAAGATGAGCGTCTGCGATGAAGTTGAACTCAAAGCAGTCTGCTCCTCAGATAAATAATGTTATTACCGTAACTTACTTAATATGCCTTAAATGGTGCCCTGTAAGGACACGGTGTGAGAGATCTTTTTATATACCTCTCTTCTCATGTTTACTTCCCCTTTTCTATCTAAGCAATAAGGGCAGCGCTTCTTAAAGAAGCTGCAGCTCCTGTACACTTCCATCCATCTTTAGGACGGCTCTATGGAACGTAATTTCATTGTACTTCACTGTGCAATGACACTAAAGCCCATTCTGATTCTTCTGATATACACAGGTATGAATATCTCTGTTCAGTGCCCTGAGATGACTTCTGTTGTGACTTGGTATAATATAAAACTGAAATGGAATTAATTAAAAAATAAATCTGTTGGTAGTGAGGGAAAAATTACATCCACTGTGAGTCATCAGATGGTGAAACCACTTCCGATAGAAATAATTTAAAGTAATCATCCCCTGTATGAAATGATCAGTATCACTTTGTTGTAGAACCATTTTTGGTCCACTCTTTTTTCCTTTACCTCACTTTGAGGTTTGCAAATAGGAAAGTCCTGTTGTCATGTTTTTGTTTTCTTTTCTTTTTTTTTTAGAAAAGATGCCTTTATCCTGGCAAGCATTCCAAACAAGCCACAGTTGTCCAGTTTTTCTACTGTCCCACTCTACAAATAGCATGCTTGTGAGGCCTGTGGGTCCTGACATGGAGCTTTTGTTTAGGTTTTCTAAGTTTTGCTCAGTTTGGCTTGGGGTAAACTTATGGGGACCTCTGATGCCAAGATGGATATGTCACACATGATGCCAGGTCTACTCTGTCTGGCTGCCCACAGAATCTGTCCAATCTTGGATTTTAACATGTCCATTTATGTGTCTGTTAAAGGAGCCTCTCTCTGTGGTGACTGGTGGGGTCTATAGGAATGGGCTGTAGGTTTTTTTTAATGTATGCACGCTGTTGTACTTTTATTTCATTCTGCAGAGAATGAACCCCCATCCCAATATAGATGAAGCTGTTATGTTCTTCTCGTCCAACTTGAAAAGCAGCTTTGAGTTTAGAGATAATGGCTGAAGAGAACATGTCTGAACCACCCCGTACAAAGTCATCTACATGACATGCAAGGACTCCTGTCACCTTACAGAAATCATCTTGCCAGTAGAAGAAGGCTGGATTGACACAGTGCTTCCCACCTTCAGCATGGTTTCTTTCACCTTGTTGTACCAGAACAAGGAAGCATCTGCCAAGCCATAAACACATTTATTTAACTTGCATATGATTCCTGGATGGATATACACACCTCGGGTTAAATCTTTACTTAGCAAAAAGGCTGACTTGATGTCCATAGAGTTCATCTTCCATTTATTTAGACAGATAACAGCTATGACCATCTTTAGAGATTCAGAGGAACAAGTGGGTGAATCCTTGGGAAGTTCTTGAGTGTTTATTTATTGGAAGCCTCTTGCAACCAGTCTAGCTTTGGGTACAATACCTACTTGTTTGTTTGAGTGTACACAGCAACCTTGTTGATGTGCATTTCTGACCTTCATTTTTTTCCCCCTCAAATTCATGGTTTCTTTTCCAGTTGCTAAGTTCAGTTTGTTTGGCATGTGAGAAAATATCCTTGTTCAACACTAATATTTCATCTCTGTTGTTTTCAGTGTTTGACCTGACATTTTCTACCACTTCAAGGTCAACTACTTGTCCCATATCAACTGACCCTGTGGATCCAGCAGTTTCCTCTGGCTCAATGTTTTCTAAGTTGTACCAGTTGCTGTGTTTTCCACTGGCCTTTCCTGCCCATCAGTTTATTTTTGCAGAATATTTTTGACCCGTTTCTTTGTCTGTGTATTTAATTACTTGTCCAGTTTTCAGTTTCAGTTCTTCACTGACAGTTGTTGAATGTGCCAGTGGGCGATCGCCCTCTCCAGGTTGTACTGAATCACAGGAGGATTTGCCGTTTCCTGCACCATGTGGTTCATCACTTGTTGGTGCCATCTCCTCATGTTCGCTTTCAAAATCGTTGTGTTCCTCAAGTACTGCTGTTTGTGTCTTAAAAAGATTAAAATCCGTTTTAATCTGATTTTCTTTTTTAGTTTCTTCCAGTTTCTCTTGTGTTTCATTTACTTTTCTTAGCTTAGACTGGTGTACTCTCACATAATTATGTTCCACCATGCCTGACAAATATTACTACACCATCCTGGCCAATAACCACACCTGGACAATTCCACTCCTGACACTCTGCAAGTTTATAATGCACTTTGTCTCCCGTTTCATATTTTTCATCAATGGACCGCAGCTGTTTTCGAAGGGCTCTTTGTGTCCTCTCAGAACATTCAGCCTCAGCAAAGGCTTTTCTCATGCCATGCAGTGTTGCAGTGTGATGGCCCATCTATGTACGGACATCAGTTTCCAACGCTAAAGTCTGTCAGGACTGAAGGCAGGTTTGGGTTTTGTCCAAAGACAATTTGATGGGGCTGTAGCCGTGCACATTGTGCATGCTGTTTTTTGCCATCAAAGCCCAACCCAGAGCCATTTTCCAGTCACATTTGTTGTCTCTCTTTACCTCAACATTTCAGTAAGGATCTGATTGTGTCTTTCCAGGAGGCCGTTGCTCCATGGACAGTATCCTGCAATGGTTTTAACCTTAATGTTAAGATGTTCAGCCATGTCTCTTATTTCTTCAGTGTTAAATTCACCTCCATTGTCACTGAATAATCTGTGTGGTGGACCATGAATGCTTATCCAGCACAGAATAAAGTGTTTCACTATCTTTTTGGGTCTTTTTGTGGTGATAATACTCCCTGCACTGAACCTTGTAAAATGGTCAATGGCATGTAGATTCCACTGTCCTGGCTCAAGCTCATGCAGGTCCACAGCTACAATCTCATATCTTGAAGCCATGGGTAAACCCACTGCTGGTTTATGTCTCGGTTTACTGTATCAGATGAAAACAACAAAAAAGGTTAAATCATGTCATCTGGAGCAGTTTTTTTAAGGGAGAAACGTTTCATCTCCCATCCAGAAGACTTCATCAGTCTGCGGTCTGCCAACCAGATCCGTCCCATAATTGGCCTTCATTGCCGTTTCAAGCCAACATCCTGTTGGAAACTCAGAAGCAGGCTTTCAACACGTGTAAAGGACTGCTCTAACAAACGCACGGTATCGGCTGCACACTTCAGTTTTTTACAATTTCCTTCAGGATTATAACATTTTCATCATCATTGTTGCCTGAGCAAGACAAGAGTTTTTGCACTCTGTCAACTGAGGCTTGTCCAAATTGTTTATGTAGCTTTAGTAGAACGGCCTTTTTTTTTTTGTTGTTGTCATGTTTTCTGTCACAATGAGAATTTCATCTTCATCATTTGGTGTCTCGCTTTTTTCAAACTGGCTTTCATTATTGCTCTTTTCCTTTCTTAAGTTTACACAATAATGTACAGAAGATGTCAGTTCAAGTTTTACAAGTTGGTCGAATATTGTTGCCTTGTCTTGAGCAATGTCCAAAACAGCACGTGCTCTTGTCAATGATGTTTTGCTCAAAAGCATCGGTTTCTCTTTGTGGTTGCTTTTTGTTTTGATGTTATCTGATGTTTACTCACTGTATCACTTTGAGATATTTTGTGAATGTAAAGTGCGTTATAAATAAAAGTTGTTATTATTATTGTTTATCGTTATTAAATCTGGCTGGAAAAAGGACATTGAGCATATAACGAACAGCTGGAAGACCAATTAACACTAATTAGGTCAATTGACAACATGATTGGGTATAAAAAGAGCTTCTCAGAGTGTCAGTGTTTCTCAGAAGCCAAGATGGTAAGAGGATCACCAATTCCACCATTGTTGCGCAGAAAGATAGTGCAGCAATACCAGAATGGTGTTACCCAGAGTAAAATAGCAAAGACTTTTAAGTTATCATCAACAACCGTGCATAACATCATCAAAAGATTCAGAGAATCTGAAACAATCGCTGTGCATAAGGGTCAAGGCCATAAAACTCTACTGGATGCTCGTGATCTCCGGGCCCTTAAACATCACTGCACCTCAAACAGGAATGCCACTGTCAAGGAAATAACAGAATGGGCTCAGGAATACTTCCAGAAAGCATTGTCAGTGAACACAATCCACCGTGCCATCCGCCGTTGCCAGCTGAAACTCTACAGTGCAAAGAGGAAGCCATTTCTAAGCAAGCTCCACAAGCTCAGACGTTTGCACTGGGCCAGGGGTCATTTAAAATGGAGTGTGGCAAAATGGAAGACTGTTCTGTGGTCAGATGAGTAATGATTTGAAGTTCTTTATGGAACACTGGGACGCCATGTCATCCAGACCAGAGAGGACAAGGATAGCCCAAGTTGTTATCAATGCTCCGTTCAGAAGCCTGCATCACTGATGGTATGGGGTTGCATGAGCCCTTGTGGCATGGGCAGCTTGCATGTCTGGAAAGGCACCATTAATGCAGAGAACTATGTTCAGGTTCTAGAACAACATATGCTCCCATCTAGACGTCATCTCTTTCAGGGAAGACCCTGCATTTTTCAACACGATAATGCCAGACCACATTCTGCAGCAATCACAACATCATGGCTACGTAGGAGAAGGATCCGGGTACTGAAATGGCCAGCCTGCAGTCCAGATCTTTCACCTATAGAGAACATGTGGTGCATCATAAAGAGGAAGGTGCGACAAAGAAGGCCCAAGACGATTGAACAGTTAGAGGCCTGTATTAGACATGAATGGGAGAGCATTCCCATTTCTAAACTTGAGAAACTGGTCTCCTCTGTCCCCAAACGTCTGTTGAGTGTTGTAAGAAGAAGGGGGGATGCCACACAGTGGTAAAAATGGACTTGTCCCAACTTTTTTGGGATTTGCTGACGCCATGAAATTAGGAAACAACAGATTTTTCCCTTAAAATGATACATTCTCTCAGTTTAAACTTCTGATCTGTGATTTGTGTTCTATTCTGAATAAAATATTAGATGTTGGCACCTCCACATCATTGCATTCAGTTTTTATTTACAATTTGTTTAGTGTCCCAACTTTTTTGGAATCCGGTTTGTACATATGCATATGTTGTTAAAATGACGCAGATTTAAGAGTTTAGAACATTTCAAGAGTGTGGGAAGAGTTTATAAAGCCCTAAAATATAGAAACACTGGAATATAGTGTTCCTACTTGGCAATTTTTCAGCTATCGAGGTGGTATGTGGAACATAACACCCGCGATAATGGAGGGACTACTGCATCTAAAAAGTTAATATTGATGAGGTTCAACAACATTGTCGTGCATCTAAATTTGTAAGAAAAAAATGCTGGACAGCTCTAACCTGAGGTTCTGGCACTTGTGACACATTAGCTCCAGCAGGTCCCAGGTCAGCTTCTGACTGGAATCCAGGTGGCGACTAGGAGAGTATGGTTTCACCTGACTGAGCAGCACCTGCTCCAGAGACTCTAAGGCCTTTTCCTGCACCGAGTTCTCAGAGTCCACCACAGCTGGCACCACACCGTGCAGCCAGGCCTTCTGAACTTCACTGCACTCTGGTAGAGCCTGGTGGAGAGAAAAAAGGACAATATATAAATAAACAAAAAGGAAATAAAAATGTTGATTTATTGTTACCATCTTTAATTGAATAAATTTAGTGGGTTTTTTGTTCTTCTTGTTCTTGTTCAAACGTTGTTCTTTTGCTGTTCGGACTTACAGCGAGAAGTTCTCCGACACACTGTAATGCTTTCTTCTTAACAGACACAGCCGGGTCTCTGGTGCGTTCAGACAGAACTTCCAGATTCTCCCAGTTCATGGGAATTACACCGTGTTTTAGAAGACCCAGCAAGGCCTGGGGAAGTGAAGAGAAAGCAGAGTTATTCCAGTTCTCATTATCATGCGTCTACAAATATTCAGCGCCGCTTCAAGTGGCTGATCGATTAACTTATTGATATTTCAGTAGAAAATCTGACAGCCTGATAAAACTCACATACCTGCAAAGCTGCTTTTCTCACATTAATCTTTGAGTCTTTTAGACGGCAAATAAGGAGAGCCAGGTTCTCTTTCGCTACAAGTAAAATGCAGAAAATTATTTTTAACCTATCTTGGATATCAAACATATGAATGCCTCAAAGTATAAACATAAAGGAACAAAATATTCTAAATAGGAAAATACCTCACCATCACAGCCAGAGCTGCTGGCACTGCTGATTTCCACGGTCCTGAACGGGAGAGTCCGATACGTTTTCTGACTCATACGGGAACTGAGATTTTCTGTTACACAGAAACATTAATTAAACATGCAGCGCAAACAACTGAGCACCAGGTTTATGTTTTAAACCATTTAATTTAATGAACTGGATATATTAGAATCTTATAAAAGGAGTGAAGTGCCTTTTTAATCAAATAAAACTACAAAATTTAGATTTAAAAGTCTAACAAGCTGCACCAGTTAAGCAGACTTTTGGTCCAGGAAGCATTTGGATTGATGCAAGCACAAGTATTTTATTTAAAAGACAAAGGACTGTACCTCTTACAAGTTCACTTTCCAATATTGTCCATGTCCCAGCTAAACAGAAAAAAAACAAATGAACAACGGTGCATAAAAATGTCTGATATGATGAGAGTTAAGTCAGCGAGTAAAAAGGAGTACTAAACAATACTGCAAACAGCCTGAGTATCCATTTCCCACAAAGTTCAAGGATATTGTAGATATAGGATGTACAGTTGTTCTTGAATGCAATCGCTGCCACCTTTCACATCAGAGTGTGAAGTTTAGATCATTTGAGTTCTTACAGCTCTTTTAGTCAAACGTGGAAAATTATGTTGAGAATCGCTGTGGTGACCACTGAAGGTTGGCTTTTCTATTTATGTGAATGTTTCTGTAAAGTGCCCTGAGACAACTTGGCTGTGAATTGGCGCTATATAAATAAACTGAACTGAATTGGGAACAGCCAAAAAGAAGCAATATTTCATGCATTACTACAAGATCTTGGATGATCTGTTAGTCTTTGCTTAATATCTGTAAAACTGACTGAATTATAGACGGTTTTGTCTTTGCTATGGCCAGTTGGCTGCGGCAGCCATCTTGAATAAGGTTTATGTCAAAAGTTAATCAGCTGAACATCCGATAAGTTTAAAATAAACTCCATTGGTTCATGAGATATTTGGCTAAAGCACACACAAACACAAGAAAAACAAGATTATTGCTCATAAGATCCTGATAAAAATTCATTCATTCAAACTTTTTTTATACAGGCTAGTCTCACTGAGCCACAAGGATTCATTCACAAGAAAGACCTGTTCCAGGCAGAACAAATAAAATACAGGCAACAATAACAATAAACAGTAACAATAAACTACAGTAAAAATGCAGTTAAAATTAAAGTACGGTAGTGTATAGAACAATAAATCAGGGTGCCGGTAAACAAGGTAAAATACTAAAAACAAGAATATATTTCCTTTGATTTTTCTATTGACATTATCAAATGTTTAAAATCCACTAAAGAAATTAAGCTGGACAGCTTCAGTTCCTGTTGCAAGGTGTTCCAGGTTGCAGGAGCTGAGTAGGAAAAGGCCTTGTTGTCAAGTTCAGTCCACACTGAGGGAACGCTGCAGATAATGATGGCCTGAGAGCGCACGCTGTAACTGCACTGACAACGTGACATGTGGGAGGAGATCTAAGAAGGTAGCAGACCAAGGAGGGATTTAAAGATGAAAATGAACCAGTGTGAGAGCCTATGTGTAGATAATGACCAGCTGACCAAGGAGTACAGGGTGCAGTGATGGGTACGGTAGTTACAACCAGTTATGAATCTTAGTGCACCATGATAGACAGCATCCAACATCTGCAAGCAGCTGGCAGGGGCATTCATGTAAATAATATGACCATAGTCAATGGCTGGTAGGAAGGTAGCGGTCACAAGGCGTTTTCTGGCATTCAGAGTTAAACAAGATCTATTTCTGAAAAAGAAAGCCAGTTTTAATTTCACTTTCTTTATCAAGTTTTCAATATGTGGTTTAAAAGAGAGATGTGCATCAAGCAAAATTCACAAGTATGTGTAGGAATCTACAAACTCAATAGGAACACCATGCATGGATGAGATAGGAGGAAGAGTTGCTGGCACTGACTTTCTATTGAAAAACAACATCCCTTTGGTTTAATCAGCATTTAGCACCAGGTTGAGGTGAAATAAGTCAGAATGAATGATGTCAAATGCAGACTGGAGAAACTGGACAACCTTGGCAACTGTGTTAGCTCAGCAACAAACAACAGTGTCATCGACAGAGATGCAAGGATGCGTCAGGAATGTTTAGACCTACATTATTTATATAAATTGTAAAAAGAGTGGGACCTTAAACGCATTGCCTGTGACCTGAGAGATAATTTGAGAACCAAGCCAATATCTGAGAGCTTGTGGCATACGATGTCATGATCTACAGTATCAAAGTCTTTGGACAGGTCTAAGTAAAGTGCAGCACAGTAATCCTTAGCATCCACAGCTTCAACAACATAATTAAAAACTGTTGGTTATGTACTGTAACCCCAGATTCTATGAGTATAGGCGTAGCCCTTTAAGGCCATTCGCTATTGGGTTTTATCCCGTTACGCAAAGCGGAGCACTGAAAACTTTAGTCCACGCCCACCTGTCATGTGGGCCCCACCCGGTCCGTATAAATTACGTTGAGTGGGTAATACGCTCCCAAATAGCTATTTCTTCAGCCATTTAAGAGCCAGTGAGGCCCAGAGCTTAAAGGGCTACGCCTATACTCCTAGAATCGGGGGTTACAGTACGTAACCAACATTCTATTTCGTATAGGCTTCGCCTTTTAAGGACATTCGCTAGTGGGTTAAAAGGCGAAGCAGGATGTAGTCTATGCCTCACTGGGTCCGTTCAGACACCATATGAAGCGCCCGCTTGCACCAAAAACCATTTAAACACTCAGCCTTCTATGTGCGTAATTACGCGCACCATGCACAGACGCGCGCTGCGTAATTTACGCGTTCCGTGTACATGGGCGCCCCGGAGAGAAAAGTTTTCGATGGGGAAAAGGGGAGAGGCTGAAAACATTGAACAGAGCAGATCAACAGCTCTTCAATATGAACAGATTAATAATAACTGAACTGATTAGTAATCAAATGAACTGATTGGTAACAGTAGTCATGAACTGATTAGTAACATTAGAAAAAGATCAACAGTCACAAACTTGTGACTGATAATAAATGTCTCACACTGTAGTTGCGTGCAGTCAGATGAGAGTTTAAATGAAATTCCATGAAAACAATAAGATTCATTCTGTTAAGGCGCTGAGAACAGAATGCGCCATGGAACGAGCCGACACATCACGCAGATAGAAGCAAATAAATGATCAGGGCGATGACCACACGGCCGCAGTGCAAATATCCTGCATTGTCATACCATTATGCAAGGCTGTCGAAGATGCGATTCCTCTGGTCAGTGCGCCCTGAGGTTGTCAGGGGGCTCTAAACCTGATGCTCTGTATGCTTCAGAAATGGCCTCACACAGCCAGTGTGACAGGCGCTGGGTGGATAATGGGCGACCTGCAGAGGCATCTCTATAATGCACAAACAAATGTTGAGTCTGACGCAGTGTGGCCGTGCGTGCTACGTAACATGCCAACGCATGCACAGGGCAGAGGAGATGAAAACAAAGATTATTCTTCAGATTTGTGGGGAGGGGGGAAAAACCCCTCCAATGTTATCATTCTCGATTTAAATAAGCTTGTGATGTTTTTAGGCATGAACACTGGGTTAGGACTCAGATCAGCTGAACTGCCATAAACTTGAATCCTGAGGCATGACGGCGCAACAGAGAGGGTGGATAAATCACTCACTCTCTTCGTGGATGTTAAAGCCAACAGCAGGGCTGTTTAAGTGACAAGAATTTAATCGAAACCCGATCTAACGGCTCGAAAGGAGCTTTGATAAGGGCTTGCAGAACCATTGTTAAATCCCACTGTGGAGCTAGTGGGCGTGACACCGGTCTGTGCCTCCGTACACCTTTTAAAAAAACGCTTCATCAGCGGATGATTAAAAACTGTTCTGTTACCGAAGCCTTCGTGACAGGAGGAAATGGCTGCAGCATACGTTTTAATTGTGCTGAACGCCAGATTTCTGTCCATCAGCTGCTGCAGAAAGGACAGCACACCACCTAGTGGACATGAGATGGCCTCTACACCTTTCTCCGTACAACAGCGTTGAAAAGCTGTCCACTTTGATGTGTACAGCACTGTGGTGGAGGCAGCACGTGAATCCTGGATTGTGCACACTACTTCTTGAGAGAGACCCATCTTCTCTAAGCAGATCCGCTCAGCGGCAAGACCCAAAGGTGCTGGCCTATTTCTGGGTGACTCCTGATCACTCCTCCCGCCTGGAGGATAGCATCATCCCTCCACGGCAGTTTCCACGGACGACCCGATAACAGACGTTGCAGGATTGGAAACCACAGGGCGCTCACGCGCTCAGGGGTTATCAGAATGGCTGACAGTTCTTCCTCCCGAACTCTGTTCAGAAACCGTGATATTAGAGGGACTGGGGGAAATGCGTAAAGGAGCATTTTGGGCCAAGGACTGTGGGCAAACACGTCCACTCCTAACGGTGGGTCGTCCCATGGGCTCAGTGAGAACCATAGTTGACACTGGGCGTTCTCCCATGTGGCAAATAGGTCCACTTCTGCTCTGCCAAATTTCTCCCAAATCCAATAAATCAGCTCGGGATGGAGACTCCAGTCCCCGTGGCGCAGACTGCCACTGGACATTATGTCTGTTCCTCTGTTCAGGACGCAGAGGATGTACACTGCTCTGATGGAGAGCAGGTTTTTGTGAACCCAACACAGCAGCTGTCTCGCAATGTGTAACATTTGGGCTGAGCGCACGCCCCACTGCCGGTTTATGTAAGCAGCAGTCACCTTGTTGTCTGTGTGAATCAGAACATGCTGATTCTGTAACACAGGAGCAAAATGTTGGATCACATTCAAAACCGTGAGACATTCCAAAACATTTATGTGAGCTGATGTGTGAGGTGGCCACAACGCCCCCACCACCTGAGACAGGCACGTTCTTCCCCAACCTGGCAGGGACGCGTCTGTGAAGACTGAGACGTGTGACGTAGGTCTGCTGACAGGGACTCCTTCCGACGGAGTGAGAGGGTTTCTCCAATGTTTCAGGTCGGTTCCCACGGAAGGGGGCCCAGAAATCATCTGCCTCTTCTGCCTTAATGGCTCTATGTGCAGACGAGCGAACCACCTCTGGAGGCGTCTCATGTGAAGTAGGTCCAACAGAACCACCGCGTGAGCTGACAACATCGTTCCTAACAGTTTCATGATGGAGACAGCTGTCACTAATCTGCCGGGCTTTACGTGGCGGAGCTGGTCTTTTAGAGTTTTGGCTCTCGTTTGTGATAAACGGGCCCTCATAGGGACTGAGTTTAGCTCCACTCCCAGATAAACGATCATCTGGGCCAGGAGAACCAAGCTCTTCTCACAGTTTATGGCGAAGCCCAGGTTTAACAGGTGTGACGTCAGCGCTTTGGTTTGCGCCGCTGCTTCC